TAATATATTATTATTTTACATTACCAGCAAAACCCACAGGTGCAACAATTCTACCACAAGGGACTTCCTCACAAGGAGCTTTATGAAATCATATTTGAGAAGCAAACTACCACTAGGAGATATACGTACACATCTATATCTCAACCGGTGGACACCTTCACTTCTTCCAATTAAGGTGCGGTTGACATTGATGATAGCAACTTTAAACCTGATCCAGATCGGATGATAGGGGAAAAAGGGGCAAACACATTTGGCCATGGAAGAGCGAGAAATAAGAGGAAGAGAAGCGGCTTGGGACAAGCACTTATGGATGTCATTGGTAGATTGACGGACGTGCTTGTGGAAAGGCAGAGTATGGGATCGAGGGCTAGCAATCGTAGTGGAGATGAGGGAGACAAAGAGAACACCAATGGTCCATCTGATCTGTTTTTCATGAGCAATTGTATTGACATCTTGACAGCCATGCAAGTACCCACAGAGTTTTACATGCCGGTTGTCAAGTACTTATATCAAAATCCAGGGTGGCGGGAGGTATTCGTGAAACTCCCGCCTGAAGAAAAGGCTAATTAGATTTATAACGACTTTCGCAATTTGTAGATGCCACTGTATGTCCTAAGTGTTTACCAACACTTTTGTATGCGCCTGTGGGCACTTGTCCTTTTATGGCTAAACCAAACTTCTGTTTAGCACCTTGATTTGAAAATGTCCCCAAATGTGTGCTACTATATGAACTTATTAATTGTGCTATTGTTTTATGTGAGATTACATGTTTCATATGAGTTTTGGATTGTCATTAGAATTAAATATTGACTCTTATATTTTGCTAAGTAGTACAACATCAATGTTTTGGAAATGTGCAGGTTTAAATGGCGTCGTCTCGCCATACAAGAAGAAGACGACGTTCTAAAGATGAGGAAGAAGAAATACTGATAGATATAACCATTGCACTCTGCGGTGTTGCCGCATTAGAAACAATTGGGCTTCAACTACAACATACATCCATATTAACTGGTCATGAGTACATGTTGGAAGTACTCAATTGGTCATGCTGACAGGATCTTTGACAAGTGTCGTGTAACGCCCCACTTGAGGTACGTAGCTAATGTTTATTGTTTTGCTCTTATTTGAGATTGTTAATATTGTTTGGTTGGCCCTTGGTTGAATGGATGTATTGGATTGGTTGAGTGGTTGCCCTGAAATTGTAAAGACTTGGCGAAATCTTGGTGTTACAGACTTTGCCGGGGCGAAGAATAATCTTCGCAGCGGCGACGAGGTTCTGCAACTCAAGAGGTAGGTTCTGTAATTTTTCGCCGGGGCGAAGAGCCGAATAAAATGTGTATTGAGTTTCTAGAGAATTCTTTCCATAGGGGCAAAATGACCTTTCTACCCTTAGTTAGCAGGAAAAGTGGGGAGTAAAATATAAGAGAATTTTATGAAGAATATGTTAGAGTGGGGGTGTAATTGTAAGGATTTAAAGGACAAAGATAGAATTTGGAAGAAAGAGCAATGGCAATATGGGAATGAATGAAGATAATTTGAGCTAAAAATGGTTTAAGTTTAGTAAACCCTTCATTCATTCTTCTTCCACCGCCTCTTCCATTCTCCATTTCCTCTCAACTTTTCCTTCAAGCTTTCAAGGATTTTTGAGGGTTTTTAGTTGGATCTTGATAGAGAATTAATCTAAGGCATCCTAAGGTAAGGATTCTTGCTTTAGATGTGAAGTTTTGTAGCTATTTGTATATTAAACTCTTATGGTGTTATTGTTTAAAGGGTAGAGAAGAGACAAGCATTTTAAAGGAAGGGAAAGTGCAAGTGTGATCTCTCCATTGCAAGGTAAGCAAATCCCAATCCAAATTGATATTTGAGTAGAGATTTAGTGAAAATTGTAGAGATTTAGTAGAAATTGTGTATTCATGTTAGATGATATGTTGTTGAGAATTGAGATGGAGATGAATAATTGCTTTGTGGTTGTTGAATACACTTCAATTATGAGAAGTGTGATGTGTGATGAGATTGTAGTTGAGATGAAATTGAAAGAGGTTGAGAATCTTTTGGAAGTGTTATGTTGTGGCAAGAATTATAGCTTTGTGAGGGAGTTTTCTCCCATTTTGGATAGTTCAAGAGAGGAATAGAATCATAGATAAATGAGAGTTTATGTATGCACATTAGTTGTTTGATGAAATGCCTAAGAGAATCACGAGTAGTAAACCTTAATTCTTGCAACATTGCATGTTGGCATTTCATTAGTGGAGAAGAACCATCCATATGTATTAATTTGTGCATTGAGAAGTGACTTGAGAAAGAGTAGAGAACTTTGTGTATGAACTACTCTAAGAGTAGAGAGAATGAGAAAATATGACAAACGGGTTGGTGCTTTGTGATCTCCACCTGGTAGTTACTCAAACGGGTTGGTGATTTGTGATCTCCACCCGAAAGTCACGAAGAGTGAGATGGTGCTGTGTGAACTCCACCCGGCCGTGCCTCCGATAAGATGAGGTCGTGACATATAGCAGAAGTTAAGAAAGAGAGCTGTGTGAAAGAGAAAATAAATGAGATGAGAAAAAGTGTAAGGAAAGAATTAAGAGAAAGAGTTACGGGGACAGTCGAGTAGAGGATTTACTTACTAAGCATTATGTTGTGCTCACCCCGTTGTTTTCTTTGTGGTTGCAAGATCTAGGTGAGAACGCGGTTGGAGGGACATCGGCAAGTGAAGAGCAATAACTATAATGTCTACTGTTTTAATATCATTTTGTAAATGATACTCTGTTTTGTATAAATAATGTTTATTTGTAATAAAAGAAAATTTTGGGCCCATTTACTTTTGCTAATATAAATAAATTTTACTTAATATAGTTCTATGAGTATCCTAGTATAAAGTAGTCATTACATGTCCCATGGACAAAGATTGTTTTACATACTTATGTTACATTTTGGCATAACAAGGCAAACTGCAACCAACCAGAAGGACGTTGGAAGAACAAGTTATGATATTTCTAACAATCGTTGGTAAAAACGAGACAATCAGGACAATGATGGAGGATTTTCAACATTCGGGTGAGACGATCTCTAGATATGTTGGCGTAGTTTGGGAGGCGATATGTGAGTTGAAGACAGAGTTTATCAGGCCACCTGACTTCAGTGATGTTCCATGGGAAATATCAACCAATCGAAAATATTACCCTTTCTTTAAGGTACTTCTTCATTATGTTTTCTATTAGTGGATAGTTAAGTTCATCGTGTTATTAATGTTGATAGTCGGTTAATATGACTAAAATTCAATTTTGATAATAGGACTGTATTGGAGCCATTGATGGCACACATGTATATGCTTCGGTTCCACATGAATTTGGCAATAGGTACCGGAATCGCAAAGGAACGTTGTCACAGAATGTAATAGCTGTATGCGACTTTAGGATGATGTTCACTTATATTGCTACTGGATGGGAAGGATCTGCGCATGATTCAAGAGTCTTAAATTCAATTCTTGACGATCCTAATTTTGGATTCCCACATCCTCCACCAGGTAGCAGTATTTTCTTGACCTGTTATAGCGTATTTGCTCAACTGTTGAGGCCCTGGAATTCAAATAACATGTCTGATTTTATTACAAGGAAATACTATTTGGTTGATGCGGGTTATCCAAATAGAGAGGGGTTCCTCGCACCTCACAGGCGAGTGGGTTACCATATTTCTGATCACCGTCGTAACCGAAGGGGGCCACAAGAGTTGTTTAACTACAGACATGTTTTACTCCGCAATGTTGTCGAGATAACCTTTGGTGTTTTCAAAAGAAGGTTCCGTATTCTGAATGGAATGAACAATTACCCGTTGGACAAACAAGGGAAGATTGTTATGTCATATTGTGTACTTCATAATTTTATCAGAATGTACAATATAGAGGACCCTATCTTCGAACGGTATACTGAAAATACGAGTAATCAGCAAGTATATTATGATCGCCAAAACAGCGCAGAAATGGCAGAATTGGAGAAGGACCGAGTCAACCACAGCAAGGTATTATAGACAACATGACGACTATACGGGATAACATAATGACTGAACTGTGGGCAACACATATGACCATGTCATAGTTGTTAATGGAGTATATGTGCAAGAACGATTGTAAGGGTTGATAATTAGTACCTTTGTCATATATGTATTAATGTGATGTTTTTAAACAGTTAGATTAATACTTGAAATTAATATGAGTTTTTTTTTTTTTTTTAATATTTACTGGTTACGAAATTATTAATAAAATGTCTAATATTATTAAAATGTAAATTGATAAGTTCTAAGGTTATAATAATACATTATTTTAACAAAATGCACCAAAATATTATATTAATAAATCATTTCTAAAAAAATATATTAATAAAATATTCAACACAAATAACAAAGTCAAAATACTCTACCAAACACATATTATTCAAATTATATTCTCGTAATAATAACCATACTCAACTACTCAATATTATTTTCAAAATAACCCTACTCAATTACCCAATATTATTTCCAAAATCCTATCCAAAATAACAAACCAAACGCACCCTAAATTACCCACAATATCACTTACAATAATTACTATTTGTATTAAAAGATTACCAAAATATTTTATTATCTAACAACTAAATAAGATAATATCCAAATTTTAAGATAGATTACCGGTATAATATTTTATTGCTGCTAAGCAAACGGCCCCTTGGGGAAATAATGAATGTTACATTAATTTTTAATAATAATTGTATCAGAAATTTCCGATAAATTCTTAGATCGAAATTGATGTCAAAGCAATGGCCTCCATTAACTTAAATTATGCTGCTTATGAATAACCAATTTCGGACTAAAAATTGGTGAAAGTTCGGTCATATCATATTCATATAAGATGATATCTTTCGCACTTGAAATTTAAGCAGCTTTATTTATCTTAAGCCCTAACCTTTTAAGTAATGGAAAAACGAAAATACACCTAAAATGATGAAAGAAGTTGGCCCAGAAAGTCATAATCAAGAACAAAAATATTCTATTAAATCTTCAAGAAGAGCAATAAACAATGCAGGAACTATTATCCATTCCATGCTCTATATGTACAAGATATTTCTCGAAAACTTGGGATCATGATTGTTAATGGTATTGATAATCCACAACAAATAGGCCAGTTAGTGGGCGATGGGGTTGAGCCGCTGGTGCTGGTAAAAATGAGGAGCAGCTTCTAACAGCCAAGAAGGATCAATGGAGATGACATTACGCATGTATTGTTTGTCTGTTGAAACCAGGGAGTGGTATATTACCCACTTTGGATTAACTCTGCAAGTAGAAACACCCATATCACACATATTTAGCTTGCATATAATATAATTAATACTGATAAAAACATACATTTTTTTTTCACGATTCAAAAGGAAGACAATCATAAGCAGCAACCTGATTTCATTGATAAATCAGCTATATATACAGAAATACAAGTGTAACTACTTGAATCACTGTTGTTATATAAGATCTTGCGAAGCAAGAGCCTCCTATACATTGAAGTGCCATGATGTGTCTATATTCCAGAGTATCAGTAATACCAGAAGTTGAGAAAATATTTCTAGATTGGAACACCATTGGCAGCAGCAGGAATACAGTTAGGCAGTGCAGTGACAACTTCCCGAAGGACTTTCCAAATTAACCATGTATTTTATTTTACGATCCTTGTTTATAAACATAATCCAGTAAAACCCTGATAATTATTTAGCACATTTCCTACTTAGAGAAAAAATATATATCCAGCCTCTACACTGACCTGAATAACACCGACGATGGATGAATATAAACTTCTTGAGAACCTCTGATAGTCTTGTACATCCCACTTTGACTATATGCCTTTTAACAAAATAAACAACTCAGATTCATCAGAACAGCACCTAAGAAAAACTTCTGGAAGCCATTTTAATTTGATTAATGAATGAACTAAAATACGAAAATGGAGACCCTAAAATATTTGAGATACTTAAGAAAAGACAAAGCAAAAATAGGTGAATACTTCAAATTGTGGTGAATAAATATTACTCACTTCTAAATGGCATGCATTGGCGAAAAATCCTGCAGTAACTGCCTTTCTTACAATCTGCAAAATGTGAATAGTAGAATAGCCACAGGCTCCATTTGGTTAGTTATTTAGAATAGAATTCTATGCTAAATAACATTTTTGGGAAATAGGATAGGATTCTGAAAAGTTTTTTGTACATTTCTTAGTAACATTTTCTGAAAATAGATTTTTTTAATCCCCTAGGTTTATTAATTTAACTAAACACCCCTAACAATAAAAATTTATAAACTGACAAAAACACCCCTACCCACCCACATATTACCGACAGCCGACCACTATCGCTGGAAGATAGCCGGAATCTGTCGGAATGGCGCACGACCGGCTAGCTTTGGTTGGTCATGAGCCGGATCTATGACCACAAATTTGTCCGTTGACGACCAGATCTAGTCGTTGTTGACAACCAAACGACGGCCAAGATATGGCCGTCATCAACGGCCAGATGTCGCTAAATCTGGCCATCAATGTCCAGATCTTTGGCCGTAGATATGGCTGTTTTCGGCTAGATCCATGGAAATGGACAGATCGACGCATGATCGACCAGATCCAACCGATCATGCGTCGTTACGGCACCAACGGCAGCGGCTAGCAATGGCTATTGACAGGTGATAGTGGCTTGGGTGGGTGAGGGTGTTTTTGTTAATTTTAAAACTTTTATTGAGAAAAGTAATTGTTAATACTTTGAGTTGAACATGATTTGATTGAATTTTGAAAAGTATTGAAATAAATGCATTTTTGGATTTTTAGGATAGGATAGTAGAATAAGATAGTGGGAAGGTAGTGTTCCAAATGGACCCCATGTTTCTCATTTGATTAATGAGTCTGCCAGCAGTGCACAAAATGACAATTTATATAGTAGCTGTACTAAAATTTAAGACAATGCCCAGGAAAAGGCTAAATTATAGCAATGGCTAATCAACAGAAGGTATGCGTTGTCTCTCTCACTTTTGGTAAACCATATTCCATTTTAAACTTTTTATTCACTAAATCAGTAAAAGCGTGAAAAATACGTTTCCTTCAGTAAATCAATGAAAGCATGAAATATACTTACTTGCATATCACTTTCACAAGATTTTAACACTATGCCTATTCTCTGGGCAATTCTTCTGAGTTGTTCTCTAATTTCAATAACTTTTTTCTGCGAACACAAAACATTAAATACTAACATCAACATAAGTCCTATATCTATGAATGCACCAAATAATTGTCCCTTAAGGAGAGTAAATCTAAAAATATCAGATTCTCTGCATGTAAGTCAAAAGATATATTGAAAAGTTCTTATATTGTTAAGAGCAACTAAATCCAGTTATGTACCATGGCCTGGTAGTTTACAAAGTTCTTATGACACCACCGTGAAGATTTACCAGACTGAAGAAAACCTTTGTAAACATTTAGAAATGTGACATGGTCACCCTGCAGGTATGACAAACACAATAAATGAGATAAAACATACACAGCACACAGCAGAAAAATATAAAAAATAAAGAAATATAGGTAAAAGAACAGTTGAAGAAATATCTATGGTGTAGTTAAAGTATTCGAAGGCATGGATAAATGAATTTATACACAAATATTGGATTTTCATTTCAGGAAATGTATTATACCAAGTGAATTTCAACATGCTAAATACAATTATAGTCACTCCAGAATTCTAACCATATACCAGGAGTCAACAATCACAATGAAGGTCCATTTTACAACACAGAGTAGCAAAGGGGGAAAAAAGTGTAGCACTGACTAAACAATAAAAAGAATAGCACTGACAAGGCTTCGTACAATGCACAGGCCTAAAAGGCAAACACTACAAGGTGCTACAAGTATCTCACCAATGATTTAAAGTACAGGAAAAACAAAGATAAAACACATGCAGAAAAGATGTGCAAATCTAGTCTAAAATTCATAAAGTTCATTAAATCTTTCACAGTTTGAATCAAATACCTCAGCAGCAGCAAACCTTAACTTGGCTTCATCCAGTTCCTTTTGTGCTCCCCTAGCAGAAACCCATATAGACTGCAAAACAAAAATTTTAATGAAAACTAGAACTCACCATAGCTTATTTTTTCTCTTAGGTAATTTTCAATATTCCTTATCCCCTAATAACAGCCTTTGCCAGGTTTGTTACTCTAAAATTCTAAATTCTAATATTGTCCAAGATAATGATATGAAGTAAACTTAATATTCTTGTCTCCAACCAAAAAGAGGGTAAACTGACTATTGCACAATGGAGTAAGGGTAAAACGTTACTTGGATGGAGAGAACCGCAGCAACTGTTATAATCTCCTCTGAGCATCCAAGTTCATTTGAAGCCAAGATCATTTTGGAGATCATTGGGTCCTAAAGAAAATAGAAAAATACAACAAATGCATTCAAAAATTCAATTTATAACATAAATCACCATCAGATAAAGAGTCATAAACATAACTTGAAATTTCAATGCAACATCCAAAAACAGCAGCCAATGGTTCATCAGACAGCAGATAAACATTTGAAATGAAAACATGTTGTGAGAAAAAGACAAAACATCTACCCTACTTCAATAATAACTAAAAAACACCGGGGTGGAAGGCTTTTAGCTCACAGTGATTATCACCCTCCTAACTACTTCAGCGGTGCAGATCTCAAATTGCAAAGGAATGATACAATTAAAAAATGCAAGAAATCAAACATGAAGAACTGATATATGCAACAGTAAGTTCATATAAGTTTCACCCTTCAAATCCCTCGCTTGATGGACCATGGATAAATAATGAAGTGCAAGAGATCTTATGATTCCAGGAAAACTCAACATGTTTTAGCATAGTTGCAAGTCTTGGACATGATTATAAATTATATTTTGATTCACCTATGTCACAAAACATTTTGTATCATGCATCATAAAAAGTGTAACAAGGCCTTCAAACTTAGAAAATAAATTTTGGATGAAACTTTTTCGAGGATAAGATAATGAACTTTCATATGAATGCATACATTCAAAATTTTACAAAACGATGGATAGTTCAATTTAACACAAAATCCACTGAAGATAATAGGAGCATAAACTCAAAAAATTTTATCGGATTTTAGAAAACATGCCACCAAATTCAGGCAAAACACAAGAGAGAAACATAGTGTCTTTGGGCTATTCATAAGAAAGACAAGATAGGCACATTTTATAAGCACCATCCATCCAACAAAAATGTATAGCCCATTTCTATAATTTCATGTTGCATTCATCTCCTTTGTGAAGATGATCCTAACCTCAGGCCAGGGTGCAGTTATTTGTTTTACATGGACAGGAAAGCACCCAACACAACATACATAAACATCAGCAGAAAGCATAAATATAGTTTATAGTAATATAATGGTAACGTACCAAAGGAATCTCTGCAACTTGAAACCCAGTAGGTGATGTAAGTTTGGCATCATCATCAAGAACTCCAAGTGAATAAAGCACTTCAAGTGCTCGGACCATTGCTTCAGGCGGTGGAGATGCTGGCCAATCAAAGCCCAATATATTGTCTATGCCCAAGGCTTTTAACTGAAAAATCAGAATAGAGTAACAAGCATTTTAACAAAATTAAGCATACACTTGCAATAGGACACTCAAATTGCCTACAAAACAAAAGAATAAAATATATTCACAACCAGCATAATATTACTTCAAGTCAATTAACAATATGGATAACCTACCAGAAGTAATTTCAATTTAGCAAGCTGTTGTAAGAATATCTAACACAAGCGACAGTTTAGGCAAATGATACAACAAGAAAGACTGTAATACTTAGTTGGCATTATACCTAGTGTCAAGGAACGGAAGCATGCCAACTACACCAAGGGCTAGTCTATTAAGTGATGTTGTCTAGCTACCCTTACAAGCCTAAGACCAAACCTACTTCTACACAATGTGGGATCTCAATATTATCCCCAGCTAATCACATGACACCGCTCATCACATTTGGCACTATTCTTGACCAGCTCAATCCACCCTTGGTTTGTCCCACCCTCCTTACCTTGACCTTTTTTAGGCACTTGGTGTGGAAATAGGGAACCCACATAACGAATGAGAACTTGGACATGCTCTACTATCATTTGTTACGGGTCGGGCACTAGCTCACTACCCAAAAGTCTAGCCTATTAGTGATACTGGCTACCCACCCTTATAAGCCCAAGACCAGTCTCATTTCTATTTTGATGTGAGACCACAACACTAGGCAATATGAAATAAGGAATTTCTCTTCCAAAATTTCTTCTTGTTGATGGCATATTTTTCTTTTCTTCAAATAGAGCATAGATAACCAACCATATGTGAGAATATTTAGGAAGCAACAATTGCATATAAAACAGTTTAATCTCATTAAGAGCTTTGGGACCAAAATGCAAGCAAAAAGAATGGGGTGGTCCAGAGTAAGGGTTCAGAGCAAATGCAACACCATATGATAATACGCTACCTATAGCGATTACAACAAAATAGAACCTGAATGACACAAGAAACCAGGTTTGATCTCTGCATCTCTGGGATCCCCTCAGCAGACATCTCATTTACAAAGTACTCTTCTGTGTATAACCTGCTTGCAGACACCAAAAAATTAATTTGTCACAAAAAGCTGAAGATTAGTGGCAAGT